GCCACGTTGATTCCGAAGCTGTCCGTGGAAGGAACACACAGAGCCTCCCCCCAAGATGTGTGCATATCAGGTCCCCAAAAGTCCATTTCCCAGGTATCTTTATCCTGATCTCAAAATTCTATCAGTAAAGTAAGCAATGCAGTATACTTTTAATCCAAATGAATAAAGGTGAAATGAAAAAAATATTTATCTTGAGAAAAATGACAGTGACATTTCCTATGTGCCAGCACCGTGCCAAGCACATTCCATTATTTTGTTTAATCCTCCCAACAACCCCATGCGGCAGGTCCTGTGAACATCTCCTTTCCACAGACAGGGAAACAGGCCTAGAGAGGTTTAGTAATGGAGGACAGGTCGCACAGCCAGGAAGCGGCACAGCAAGGATCTGAACCCTGGAAGTGTTTCCTTGAGCCTCTGGTCCTGACCACCGTTCACTGCCTCCCACACTCCAATCCGTGCGTGGAGCACACGGCCGGCCCCCACCCCTCCTCCTCGCTGAACGCTCTCAGGGTTGCTGCACCCTCTGGTCTGCAGCTGACTCTGGCCAGGGATTAACAGCTGATCTTGATAAATTTCTTGTAGCCTTTCTGCTTTGTGTCTTCATAGAATCCTGCTACTGTCCTTTGCTATACAGCAAGTATTTGAAGAGTCAGATTTCACCCATTGTTCCTCCATCATCAGCCTCACCTCCAGCCTGAGTTCAGCGTTTGCTGGTTGATTGATTGCTAACTGACCCCGCCCTGCTGGAGGGCAGAGCAAGAATCCGGCACAGGCATGGGTAGGGCCAAGGGAGACCCTGACAAAGTGGAGCCTGACACGGAACGTGGGAACAGTATGGAAGAGAGTTTGCTGTAATATTAGGCACCTTGAGAAGCCCATGTACCCATTTATAATACCTTTTACTCTTACTGTTAGATAATGGTTTTTTCTGCATCAAGCATGGTGTCCATTACAGTAGATGCTCAATTAGCATTTGGTGAATGCATGAACGAATGAGGGATGGACAGAACGTGTGAGTTATTGTTTGGTTTCTTATCCGCTGCAATTTGGGATTTATTTCCTCCACCCGGCTCTTCCCTTCTGCATGCCTGGATTCTCCTTCTCACCACCTTCTCTCTCTCCCTCTCCCCCTGTCAGTCCAGGGAGTGGCTGGACAGGTGGTGGCAAGAAATGTTCTTTTAGGGCTTCTCTGATGGCACAGTGGTTGAGAGTCTGCCTGCCGATGCAGGGGACACGGGTTCGTGCCCCGGTCTGGGAAGATCCCGCATGCTGCGGAGCGGCTGGGCCTGTGAGCCATGGCCACCCGCAACAGGAGAGGCCACAGCAGTGAGAGGCCCGCGTACCGTAAAAAAAAAAAAAAAAAAAAGAATGTTCTTTTAGGTGGTGTTCCAGGATGGTGTTAGGTTCTATAATTTTGGAGTAGAACCATTCTTTAGGGAAATTAGGACTTAAACCAGCCTTCAAGGGACTCGAATCACCACGTATGATGTTACTGTAGGAGTGTGCATTCTGAGTTCTAAGCAGACCTTGGGGCAACCCATTGGGAGCTTCATATGTTTGAGAAGCTCATACCATCCAGGCATCTGCAGTGGCATCCCCTCCACATCTGTTCTCATGGACTAAGAATGGCTTCTTGACTTTCATGCCTTGCATTTGGTCCATAAGACATTTGGTCTACACCAAGGTCCTTGATATTTGGTCGTATTTGGTCCTGTCCAGAATGTCCATGGAGACATTTGGTCCATGCCAAAAGGCCCTTGATATTTGGTCTTACCCAAAATGATTTGGCATGCACAGCAATCAGAGAAGAAAAAGAAATAAAAGGGATCCAAATTGGAAAAAAAAGAAGTAAAACTGTCACTGTTTGCAGATGACATGATACTATACATAGAAAATCCTAAAGATGCTACCAGAAAACTACTAGAGCTCATTAATGAATTCGGTAAAGTTGCAGGATACAAAATGAATATACAGAGGGACTTCCCCGGTGGCGCAGTGCTTAAGAATCCGCCTGCCAATGCAGGGGACTCAGGTTCAATCCCTGATCTGGGAAGATCCCACATGCCATGGAGCAACTAAGCCCATGCACCACAACTACTGAGCCTGCGCTCTAGAGCCCACAAGCCACAACTATTGAGCCTGCGTGCTGCAGCTACTGAAGCCCGTGCACCTAGAGCCCATGCTCCACAACGAGAGGCCACCGCAATGAGAAGCCCATGCACCACAATGAAGAGTAGCCCCTCCTTGCTGCAACTAAAGAAAGCCCACATGCAGCAATGAAGACCCAATGCAGCCAAAAAAACAATAATAAAATATTTTTAAAATGTTTTAAAAACAACAAAATTAATACACAGAAATCTGTTGCATGTCTATACACTAACAAAGAAAGATCAGAAAGAGAAATTAAGAATACTCCCATGGGGTTCCCTGGTGGCACAGTGGTTAAGAATCTGCCTGCCAATGCAGGGGACACAGGTTTGAGCCTTGGTCCGGGAAGATCCCACATGCCGTGGAGCAACTAAGCCCGTGTGCCACAACTACTGAGCCTGTGCTCTATAGCCCGTGAGTCATAACTACTGAAGCCCACGAGCCACATCTACTGAAGCCCACGCACCTAGAGCCCGTGCTCTGCAACAAGAGAAGCCCGCACACTACAACGAAGAGTAGCCCCCACTCACCGCAACTACAGAAATCCTGCATGCAGCAACGAAGACCCAACACAGCCAAAAATAATAAATAAAATAAATAAATTTATTTTTTTAAAAAAGAAAGAAAACTCCCATATACCATTGCATCAAAAAGAATGAAATACCTAGGAATAAACTTACCTAAGGAGGCAAAAGACCTGTACTTTGAAAACTATAAGACACTCATGAAAGAAATCAAAGATGACACAAACAGATGGAAAGATACACCGTGTTCTTGGACTGGAAGAATCAATATGGTTAAATGACTATTCTCCCCAAGGCAATCTACAGATTCAATGCAATCTCTATCAAAGTACCAATGGCATTTTTCACAGAACTAGAACAAAATATTTTAAAATTTGTATGGAAACACAAAAGACCTCAAATAGCCAAAGTAATCTTGAGAAAGAAAGACGGAGCTGGAGGAATCAGGCTCCCTGACTTCAGACTATACTATTACAAGGCTATGGTAAACAGAACAGTATGGTAGTGGCACAAAAACAGAAATATAGATCAATGGAACAGGATAGAAATCCCAGCAATAAACCATGCACCTATGATCAATTAATCTATGACAAAGGAGGCAAGACTATACAATGGAGAAAAGACAGTCTCTTCAATAATTGGTGCTGGGAAAACTGGACAGCTACATGTAAAAGAATGGAATTTGAACCTTCTCTAACACCGTGCACAAAGATAAACTCAAAATGGATTAAAGACCTAAATGTAAGACCAGATACTATAAAACTCCTAGAGGAGAACACAGGTAGGACACACTTTGACATAAATCACAGCAATATATTTTTGGATCAGTCACCTAGAGTAATAGAAATAATAACAAAAATAAACAAATGGGACCTAATTAAATTTAAAAGCTTTTGCACAGCAAATGAAACCATAAAAAAACCCAGAAGACAACCTACAGAATGAAAGAAAATATTTGCAAATGGCACAACCAACAAGGAATTAATCTCCAAAATATACAAACAGCTCATGCAGCTCAATAAAAAGAAAAAAAAAATCCAATCAAAAAATGGGCAGGGCTTCCCTGGTGGCGTAGTGGTTGAGAGTCCACCTGGCGATGCAGGGGACACGGGTTCATGCCCCAGTCTGGGAAGATCCCACATGCCGCGGAGCAGCTGGGTCCATGAGCGTCCGGAGCCTGTGCTCCGCAACGGGAGAGGCCACAACAGTGACAGGCCCGCATACCGCAAAAAAAAAAGAAAAAAAATGGGCAGAAGATTTACATAGACACTTCTCCAAAGAAGATATACAGATGGCCAAAAGCCATATGACAAGATGCTCAATGTTGCTAATTATTACGGAAATGCAAATCAAAACTAGGAGGTATCATCTCACACCAGTCAGAATGGCCATCATCAAAAAGTCTACAAATAATAAATACTGGAGAGGGTGTGGAGAAAAGGGAACCCTCCTACACTGTTGGTGGGAATGTAAATTGTTGCAGCCAGTATGGAAAACAGTATGGAGGTTCCTTAAACTAAAAATAGAGCTACCGTATGATTCTGCAATCCCACTCCCGGGCGTATATCCAGAGAAAACCATAGTTCAAAAAGGTACATGCACCCCAATGTTCACTGCAGCACTATTTACAGTAGCCAAGACATGGAAGGCACCTAAATGTCCATCAACAGAGGAGTGGATAAAGAAGATGTGATACATATATACAATGGAATATTAGCCACAAAAATGAAATAATGCCATTTGCAGGAACATGGAGGGACCTAGAGATTATCATACTAAGTGAAGTAAGCCAGAAAAGCACAAATATCATGTGATATCACATATGTGGAATCTAAAAAACTAATACAAACGAACTTATTTACAAAACAGAAACAGACTCACAGACTTTGAAAACAAACTTATGGTTACCAGAGGGGAAAGGTGTGTGTGGGGGGGGATAAATTAGGAGTTTGGGATTAACATACACACTGCTATATATAAAACAGATAATCAACAAAGTCCTCCTGTAGAGCACAGGGAACGCTACTCAATATTCTGTAATAACCTCTCTGGGAAAAGAATCTGAAAAAGAGTGGATATACATATATGTATAACTGAGTCACTTTGCTGTACACCTGAAACTAACACAACATTGTAAATCAACTGTATTCCAATATAAAATAAAAATTAAGTTTAAAAAAATACAGTATTTACGGAAACTGCATTCCTGGTGCCAGCTATAGATGCCCAGAGAGTTTTATCTTCCAGTTGGAGTTTGCCATTCATCTATCAGGCCAGCATCAGGGAAGGCTGTCCGTTAAGTGGTTCTTCTTTCTGTGTCTCTGACAGATGTGTCACCCCTACACCAGCGAGCCTCTGCGAAGATGAACCCAATAGAGGAAGGGGCGGAAAACGATGACGACGTCTTTGAACCCGTGTCCTCGAATACGCTTCAAGTTCGTCGCTGGCCTTGATCCCAAGAGAGGATTCACGTTACCAAGAGGGAAACTGTCCGGAAGAGATCCTGAAAAATACCAGCACTTTTTCACAGCTTTTCAATTGTTCTGCTTTAATATTGATACTCCCAGCCTGGGAGAGTCTGAGGGCAGGAAAGGGAGGGAGATTCAAAACATGGGAAGGTTATCTTCTCTTTTTACTGGTCAGCTTTCTGTTCCACTGAGCCTTCTGACTAAACTGAGTGCTATTTTTGAGAGATATATTTTCACAGTGTTTTCTAGATATGTTATCATTTAACTTAAAAAAAATCTTAGCGCTTTGTCATTGCAAATGCCTTCACTTATCTTTCCGAGCTGTTCCTGTTCGTCAGAGACAGTTTTTTCTCTGCCGTGGCAATGGGGCTGTCCGTTTGATAGTTGTAACAAACAATGTAAGTTCGAAATTGAGGCTGAGGTAACATTAAAAAGCAGCGAATCTCAGGCTTCGCTCAGTTGGTTTTTTGGCCGGAAAATTTTAAAGCAAGGTGTGATGCGATTCATGTATATTTTTCCCTCAGGCCAGACACGCCATTCTACTAGACTGCCTTCCTTTTGTGGGCATTGTGTGGATAGCTTGATAATGAACAAAGCTCGTCAGACTTCGCTCACGTTACCCTTATATTATGCTGTTTGGAAGTTGGGCTGAGCCCTAAAGCTGGAAACGTTAACAGTGGAAGAGGTTCTGAGCCTGGGGCCGGCCTTTGGCTAAACCAGCCCAGCTTGCCCCACACTCTGCTGTGGGAAGCACGTTCCTTGGGGTGGGAGGACCGGAGAGTCAAGTGGCCAAACAAGTGTCGCAGAATGACGAGGCTGATGGAGCCGCTGCACTCTTCATCTGCTTTTCTGACATGCAGATGGTTCCTCCAGGTCCATAGACGTCTCCTTACTGTGTGTGCCAGGGACCAGGTGCCAGAGATGCAAACAAGGACACAGCTGTGTGCGGGCAGACGGTCCACCACAAGCCCTGCCATGATCGCCCAGCCTAGATAGTGCTGTGAGGGCCTGCATTCCAGACATGGTGGTATTTGGGAAATTCGAAGTCTGCTTAAATCATCCAGCGGGTCAGTGTGACTGTGGCCCTCCACCGGGCCACCTAGTTGGGGGAAGCCCCCTGATGGGCTGTGCTCCACCATGCCCCACTACCTTTATTTTGTGTCATCCACTGGAACCAACTCTGAGTCAGTCCCATTAGGTTAAACAGCTAAGAAAAGTTCCAAGTGAAATTATTTTCAGGTGAGCTGAGCCAAAAGCATCTTTTGCCAAGAGGTGATTTCTGTGAGAGGAGATATAAAAATAAGCTACTCCAGGGTCACCTCATTTTCCTAAACTCATTTTTGAAAGCCAGTTATTTTAGTAATTTCACTTGAGTCAAATTTACATGCTTGGTCACTCACTGAGAAAGCTTCCACAGGCTGGGTATCCAGCTCCTAACACAGTCATCAAATGCTGGCCTATTAGCCTCACAGTGGAAAGGCTGATTTCACTTTCCCACTATAGTGGTCTCTTCTGTTTGCTAAATTAGAAATTTATTTGGGGAAATGAAACAAAGGTGAATGACTTTGTCTTGGCTTTAAGACTATAAAGATATAATAGGTTGAACTCTTTCTTTCAATGCCCGAATCAAGTATATAAGGTAATGGTGTTAATACTGCTTTCCTTTAACTATTGGAGGGAAGCTATGTAGGCCATTGAGTTTACACATGCATAAGACCTAATTTACAAAATCACTCTATAGAGTAATTAGATATTACACCCTTCTCTGAGTAGAAAGTAATTTTAGATGCTGCTAAAGCCATGCTTTTAATGTTCTGTGAATCCACAGAACCTTGAGATTTTCTTACCCTGACCCATCTTCAGGTTTGTCTCACTTTGTCAACCACAGACAACAGAGGGTGTTATATCTAATGATCAGCCTGGATGTGTTTGGAGGTTATTTTCTATAGTGCTGGGAACAAACATGTTTAAAAGCACACTGCTAAAATTAGGTGATATGAAATCATTTACTGGTTTTATTAAAACATGTGCACATCAGTGCCATTGATAAGGAAGATTATAATTTCAAGATTAGGAATCTTGGGCTTCCCCGGTGGCACAGTGGTTGAGAGTCCGCCTGCCGATGCAGGGGACACGGGTTCGTGCCCCGGTCCGGGAAGATCCCACATGTCGCGGAGCGCCTGGGCCCGTGAGCCATGGCCGCTGAGCCTGCGCGTCCGGAGCCTGTGCTCCGCAACGGGAGAGGCCACAGCAGTGAGAGGCCCGCGTACCGCAAAAAAAAAAAAAAAAAAAGATTAGGAATCTTCAAAGAGCCATTTAGCTTGAATGGGAAACACGAAACTATTTTTAAATACATCCCTCTAAGGACAACAGTTAGTTTCAGAGAAAAGGAGCTGAAGATATTGAGTAGTCTTCCCACTAGACTTGATAGCAAAGAAGCAGATAAGAAAACATAAAAGATCTCCTATGGATAATTTTTATAAATTTATGTATACAAATGAACAAGTGTATCTTTGTATAACGCATAGATAAAAAACATGTTTGCTGCCAATGAGATGCTTCCTGTGTTCTTTGGCCTTCACTTAGCTGTGTGACCAAGGTCCAGAAAATGGTCTGCAAAAATTATTCTGTATATTACCCCAAATCTACTACGTTTAAATGTAACATCAAGTCCGTTGTATGAAGCTGGACTGTAACGTTTATACCAGAATGTATGTCAGTTATGATATTTTGCAAGCCCTCATAAATATTATATTTATAAATTAATAGCACAAACCCTATGATGTTTCTAGATCTTAAATTAGTAATAATGGGTGCTACGTAATTATTTTTCACTTACCATCCTTAGCTTCCTGGGATCTTTTCCGTTTCTCCCTATGGTCCATTTCACTTTAATGCTGTGCCCACTGGGAGACGCCACCTTCTTCGTGTCTGGTTCTCCTTCCATATGCCTGAAGCTTTTCTGATTCTGTAACTTGGAGCTGCTGATTTCTGCCTCCCAGGTCCTGTCATGGCCCCAAAGGCAGAGTCACTTGGATGCTGGAAAAAATATTTAGGGAAAGTTGTGTAACCTACATACTCTGCCCTGTCTCCAGTGTACCCAGGTGATGACCTTGCCCGCCAGTGAAGATTTCATGCTAGTGCATGGTGGCTCCTGGCCGAGCACTTGGGAAGGCTGGTCAGTCCCAACCCTTGGGGCTTGGTGCAGACCCTGAGGTACAGCTCCAAGGATTCACTGTTATTATTATTTTTAAAATCCATTTTCTTGGTCATTTCTTTTTTTTTTTTTTTTTTCGATACGCGGGCCTCTCACTGTTGCGGCCTCTCCCGTTGCGGAGCACAGGCTCCGGACGCGCAGGCTCAGCGGCCATGGCTCACGGGCCCAGGCGCTCCGCAGCATGTGGGATCTTCCCGGACCGGGGCACGAACCCGTGTCCCCTGCATCAGCAGGCGGACTCCCAACCACTGCGCCACCAGGGAAGCCCTTCTTGGTCATTTCTAAAGCTGCTCTGCAGAAACCGTTGACCCCGTTTCCCCTCCCTTCCCTCTTTCCAACCCTGGTTTTCCAACCTCTTTTTCTAATTATCCCCAACTAGAGTGATTAGAAATTCCCACCCACTCAATTCAGATTCCCAAGGATGTGAAGGGATAGGACACTGTGCAGGGAACTCGAGGTTGCCATGCACTCGGGACACATCTTCTCACTCATGGTAGCCATGCTCTGATCATCACAGGACCCCAAGTACCTTGCATGTAACAACATATTGTAAGGGAAATTTAAGAAACCCACTTTAAGTACTATTCCCAGATTTTACCGATATACTTGCAATCTAGTTCTAAAGTACACAAGGATTTTGTGAATGGTTTTTACAGACACATTATTCATAGGGATCGCATTCTTTCTGCTTTTAGGTGCCATTTACACTGATACCATTTTACTTTATAATAAATTTACATTTCGACTGAATGGAGCCTTACAGTTTAAAATATCTTCATATATTGTCATTTGATCAAATAAATTTCTTACTTGGAATATGTGCATATTTTTAATTTCATGTCTCTTACATGTAGCTGATTTGCCCTAACGCCATGCCCAAAGGTTCAAGAACCTTCAGAGGTTATGGGAATTTCTCTGGTTTAGGTAATCTGAGCAGACCTGCAGAGGGCATGCTCTTGAGTTAGTTCCACTTAGTTTCAAAAGCCTGCCATCTTGCTGCCTTTGGCCGTGAAAAGAAAGGTCCACGAGGCAGTGGGCAGTGTTGCCTGGATGGAGCGATTGAGAAGCCTCCAGAGTTACACTGTGAGGATAGATTTCAACTTTTTAATACACTGCATCTGAACATTCTCTTCTAGTTTTATGAGATCCAACAACACAAGGGGTCACAGAGAGGAGCCAGAACCCCTCCCCTGGATCTATTCTATTCACGGAGAAACCCTTCTCTCCTCCCATCACCCGTGATCGGTGTTGGAAAGGGAACTGGGCAGCCCATCTCTTGGCCCTTGATAGTAGGTCCTTGGCACCTAAACTTGCCCTGATCAGCCCCAAGACTAGACCCAACTAGAAGAGGCATCTTACATGACGAGCAAAGTAATTCTTTCTCAATAAGCCATGTCACCAATATGTAAAACATGTTCTGCTAGGGTGTTCTACATCAATACTTCCTCGCAGCAGCAACACGGATGGACCTAGAGATTATCACACTAAGTGAAGTGAAGTCAGACAGAGAAAGACAAAGGTATGACATGACTTGTATGCGGAATCTCAAATATGATACAAATGAACTTACTTACAAAACAGAAACAGACTCACAGACAGAAAACAAACTTATGGTTAGCAAAAGGGAAAGGGGATGGGGGAGGGATAAATTAGGAGTTTGGGATTAGCAGATACACACTACTATATATAAAACAGATGAACAACAAGGTCCTACATTAAAAAAAAAAAAATTCCTTGCTATATACTAGGGGCAGACATATCCCCACTGACCGTCAAGCTCTCCCAGCCTCCTTCATTACCTCTCCTGAGAGAATTCACGGCTTCCTGGCATTTGCCTGGCCCAGCTGCCCGGTCCAGGCAGGACTCCACGTCGCGGGACCAGCCCCGGGCCTGCTCCTGGGGACGAAGCCTTGTGGCTGGGGATTTCACCCTCTGACTTCTTGCACGACAGACCAGCAGAAGCAAACGTGGTTTGAACGAAGCTAAACTACCTCACAGCTGAGTAAACGAGGTCCCACAACCA